ATATTTTACTATTAGGTTTGAAATTTTCTTGAAAATAGGGCCTAATTGATTTGAGACAGTCTTGGTGGCTTTAAGTGTTATCTGCAGTTTGACACCTGAAGTAGTGCATCTGTGTACGGGAGTAAAGTAAAAATGTACCCAGTTTTGTTAACAGACAAAAAATTGCATTAAAAAATCGTAAAGCAAGATAGTAATAACAAAGTAATTGTCCGAGTGGCTCCGGACGGCAATTAGTAGGACCGTCAGTCAGTATGCTGTCGGTAATCTGGTATTATTTAAGTTGATATAAAAGTTTAGATAAAAAGGCTAAGCTGAGTTTTGGGTCAAGTAGCACCGTAGTATAGTAGAAGTAGTAAATAACTTACTACTTCATCTGACTTCTTCCTCAAATTCTAAATTAATTTATCTTCTCTGAAGTCTGAATAGTTTTAATCAAAAATAGTACAGTAGTTTGGATCTTTATCTCAGATTGCATCATAATATCTCTAAAGATAACAGTTCTCTTTTAATAGTCTAGTATGCTAACAACTAAATTTATTCTTTCGATGATAAAACAGAAGAATCATTCTCATCTTGTTTGTTTAATTCTTTTAATTTTCAGGTAATATTAATATCTTCACTGCCCTGCTCATACTACTTATAGTTATGTCGGATCCTGAGAAAAAAGAGTCTGTGACAGACTCATGGCTGGTAGAGGAAGCTGACGAAGCAACGTATAACTGTAGTCAGGAGAAAGGTAACTATTTTTAACACCTCTTCAGCCTGTGTAATTTTGTTCTTCAGCTTCGTACCTCTCCAGCTAGTGTAATTCAGTTCATCAGCTTTGTGACCTGGCGTAGTCCTGCTGTTCTCATAACATTGCTCTTTCTACCAGCATAGGAAGAAAGCCAATTAGACCTGCCGAGTTCTCCGATAAAATTGGAACCCTCCAATTTTTATTTGCTCGTCGAAGAACCCTGATCAGATTTGCATGTAGTCCTTTTTTTTTCTTGAACTCAGTTTCCATGGGTCAAGCGCAGCATTGCAAATGACATGAAAGTACACAGGTCTATTTAATTTTATTTGCAATATATTTGCACGATTTATCATGATTGGCATGAAAATACCCTTCTTTTATTTTGTTTATTTAAACACATTTATTTACCATGAATGATTTGTAATGTTATTTTAATCTAGGGGGTTCTGGTGACTCCCAATTTTTTTTTTCTGGCAAACTCTGGTTTTAGAGAGCCAGATGAAATGGGCTCAAGGATAAAGTAAGAGTAAAGAACGCTATTAATGCTCATGCACAGGAGCACTGTTGGGCTTGTGTGTATTCTATCTCTGTCCTTTTTCTCTCAAACCTCATCTGTTTTAGAACTAGGAGGTACATGGGTCTACTGACAGAATAACAGAAACGTTACTGAACATTAGCTTTTGACGTCTGCCTAAGACATGGCTGATATATGATCTTTAACATTGTATAGCGGGTGTCCTTTTTAATGTAGAAAAGCTCTTTATAATTAATAATAATAATAATGGATTGCATTTATATAGTGCATATCCACTTATGCAATGCTCTATGCGCTTAACATGATACATATAATGGATTTACAAATCAATTTTAAAGATACATAGTGTTACATACTCATGCAAACACATATTCACTCACGCACGCACCACACACATATACATACTCACATACATACATACATACATACATACATATGCACATACGCACATACAAACTCACAACGATCTACAGCTTGGATGCATTCTGTCTAATCGAAATATGATGAAAATAGAAATGATTTTAGTTTCTTCTTAAAAATTTCTAGATTTTCTGCTTCTCTGATAGTTTTTGGAAGCCTATTCCAAACAAGTGGGGCAAAATATGAAAAAGAGCGTTGGCCATATGATTTGAAATTTATTTTATATTAGATAGAAATACTTTTAGATTGATTTGTAACACAAGCCAATGTTTCATTTTAACAATCTTTCTTAAAATAATCTTTACTGGAGTTTGTTTAAAATATTGTATAAACAATGTACTTTTCGATTAATGCCTTTATATATTATTAGTACAGATGGTTCTCTTTTCTTAAATATGTATATGATACTTTAAGGTGAACTAAAAGAATGTAAATTTGTGCTCACCAGGTGTTTGGCAGCCTAAAGCAGATGTTATATTGTCAATGTTCAAAAAGTTGAGTGAAGGAGGTACTCTCCCCTTGAATTGGACCTGCCCTGGCCGACGGCTGCCCGAAGTGGTCGTGAAGGAAGAAAATGATGGGGAGGAGGGTATGGAGTTGGATGAAGATGACATAAAAGAGGAAGTCACAAGGTACCTGTTATTGATGTATTTGTTTTTCATACTTAAAGGATACCTGTGATGATGAGGTCAATAATTTGTTTAATTCAGGAAACTTTTTTGAGCTTCTAAAATGATAAGATGGAAATTTCTGAACAGTTTTTTTTTTTTCTTCTTTAAAGGAAAAATTAAGTAGTAATGATAACAAATGTTGAATGAGATGAATTTAATGGCTGCCCAGAATTTTATGATGAAAAAAATATCAGTGTTTAGACTCTTGTCTTTAACAATGAAAATTTGTGTTGAGTTGGTTAACATATTCATGTTTCAAGAGTGTTAGTTTGCTTGCATGGAGATTAATGAAATTCAGTGGAATCCTGTTATAACGAGGGGGAGGGGTCTGGTGCGAAATTATAGCAGGATGCTCATCATAAGGGATCCAGGAATAAATTCAAGGGAAATAATAAAGTAGGCATAATCTATGAGTTTAGTGTTCTGTTTATTTCTTTTTGTTATCTCCCCTGATGATGGTTTTGTTCAACATGACCTCTTGGTCTTACGAGATCAAAAGTCAAATCGGGTTTCTTTTTCTAGCGCTAGTGATGTTGACAGCTCTGCGTTGGCGATCAGAAAGAAAGGTCTCTAGGCTAACTCGCCCGCTGTATTGTCCCCCACCTCACCACACCCTGTGGTGCGTTCCATCTGCTTGCTCTCATCACACATTCACTCCATCCATCACAGCACCGTGACTTCTCCATCCCCGCATCAGAGAAGTGAGAGGCATGGTAGGCGTAGATAATCTTGACTAGGCTGGCCTATCACGTGATGCGTTCTACTTGTCTGCGCATGCCACACCCTCCCCTCTCAATCTCATTCGCTCTGGCCTTTATTGTTGGCACACGTTGACTCTCCCATTCTTTGTTTCGCTAGATCACCAAAAAGTTTCTCAACTGGCGAGGTTTATATGTATAATTGGCCTATGGACTGTGCACAGCAGCAGCAATATTCCGCTATAACCGGCTCACATGTTTGTCTGATTGCGCCAATAGCAGTGTTTTTATTTACAAAGATTGAGAAGGGGAAAAAAAACCGAGGCTTTACTATTGTGTCTTTATAACACTTCTTGTTATTTCAGGACTCGTTATAAGTGGACTTTACTGTAGTCAAAAACACTATCTGCTTTTTTCATTTTGAAAGGTATTGGAGAGTGTTAGTTGAACTTTTGTTATTTGACAAGGCTTTTGGATTTTTTTTTCAAGTTGTTGATTTATGTTGGGTTAGTAAAATATCAAATATAATATATTTCTGCATACATTTCTGCTTTGTGAAGTCTGAAACTTAAATTGATAGTTTTTGTATATGATGGTGACAACAACATTTGTATTGGGGTTTTTTTCACTGCTAGGAAGGGGGCTTATTTTGGGGTGTTAGATGATAGTCAGGTGTAGGTTTTGAAAATAGCTCTACCAGCTTAAGCTCAACTCTGCTTTTTCAATCTGCAGTGTCTGAAATGAGCGGTCAAGTGGGAGGTACTGTCTTAATCTTTCACTTGTGTTTGGTTTTGTTAAGTTTTTTTCTTTAATTTTCAGTGTGCCGGAGCCGAGCGCTTTTGATTTTGACGAAACACCGTCAGACGTTGGTACGAAACTCACCCCAAGGAGAACCCCAGGTATGTGGGAAAAGTCATAGAGAAACATGTCGCTGTGGATGTGGAGTGGCTGGAAAAAACAAGATATTCAAAGTACAAGTGAATAAAATAAGTTGTAAAGAAAAGAGGGGGGGAATAGGGATTAGATCCAGTACAGCCTGGTTCATGTATTTCAAATTTATGCAAAGTTCTTCGCATAGGTGACTGTCTTACACAGTGGCACTTTAAAAAAAATTTGTTCAGGTAAGTGCTTTACGGCGCTGGGCTTTAGGAAATTTTGAATTTTGCCAGCGTGGCGGCCGAACCCTACTCATATCGATTTGAACCTCCAAAGGATTTTTAATGTGCACAACTTGCACACGGGACCTCCAAGATTTTTCGCCCTTATCCGAGAAGGCTTGGTGTAGATCTTTCCTACCATAAGATCAGGGGTGTGGCTGAAAGACAGCAGTATGAAGAAGCCAGGAGTAGCAGTAGAAAGGATGTAGAAAGAGTCAGGAGCCGAGGGGGGGGGGCAAAGGGGGTGGGGGTAGAAAGTGGAAACGAAAGCAGACGACAGACCATTATTAGAAAGCAGGAAAGGATGTGAAAGAAGAAAATGTTATAGAAGAAATTTTTTTCATCACTATCCGGATTCGAACCAGGGACCTGTTGAATGAGAGGTGGACACATTAACCTCTAGACCACGAGAACCCCTACAGCCACAGTGGCATTGTAATATAAAAAATATGCAAGGGATGCAATGATAAGTGGCTATAAAATTTGTACAGGTGATTGTCTTTTATTACTGATGGCCGTTACAGCAGGTTCTATTGTAGTTGTATTTTAGAGGTTCACAGGCTTCAAGGTTATTTATTTTTAGGCTATGTGGTGGGCTAACAATTGCAGAAAAGCTATACGTTAGTCTCTGCCTAAGATCCTATCCCTTACGATCCAGGTTCGCTTAAGATCCCGCTGTTTTAAGAAAACAATTTTTACTATACAAAAGTCACCCCTAAGATCCCGCTCTGATTCACTCTGAAGGTCTACATTCAACTAAGATCCTGCCTTTCTGATCATAATTTACGGAATAAAAACCCTGGCGGGCACAGCCGATCAACCGAGAGGGAAAAGTTGAGGTCAATGAACCACCCGTCGTGTCATGGATCAGCCATTCTCATGAATATGATCATATGATCGTTGTAAAGCTGGATGAAACGGTACAATGTTTGCCCCAGATGGGATCACATCGATGTGTGAACTGACTGACGCATTTGTTTTCCCCAAACATCGCACTCGCATCTGAGCTCTCCACTTAAACTTACATCACCTCGCTCCAGGGGGGATCACATCGAACCATGAACTCTTCATTGACTATTGCGGCAGTTTTCTCTATTCCCGAATTTTCGAGACTGACTGAATTTTAATTGAGGTGGTCACAACGTAGTGGTGCGTAACGGCAGGGGGGGGGGGGAGTAGGTCAGAGACGGAAAGCTATAAATTTTCTACAGGTAAAGGGGAGGGGCAACTGGATAAGCATAGACCTTGAAACTTACGATTGGATAAGTGAAAATGGCACGCCTCATGCCACTATGCACTGTGATAGGCCGTCAAGGTTAACCAGTCTTTGCTCGCCATGTCATAAACCCACCCAGGGTTCAAGTCAGTTCATTTTAGAGTGGAGGGAGACCATTTTACTGATCGTGAGTCTTTACATGGGTCACCATAGATTCTTTCCTGAGTTCATCGGCTTAGATCCCGGTTCACCTAAGATCCCACATTTTTCTTACTCCTGAGCACCGGGATCTTAGGCGGAGACTACTGTACAGTAGGTCACTAGAATATCAAGGCCATGAGATGACTGCGTTCCTTCCTCTCTTTGCACAGGTTCGTGTAAACACATGCTAAAGAGCCCTCCCGAGCACCATGCGTTTAGGCGGAGACTACTGTACCTTCTATTGTGCCCTTTACCATGTTTTGAGAGTTTGCTTAATAATATGACATTTTATTATTTCCTGATCATATCTGAGTCATTGAATCAATCAAAGGGAGGGAATTTCCTTCACTTTTTTGTTCTTTTCTTTTTAAATGCAAGGAGATGCACTATTTTATAAAATTTCCTGTTTTTATATTAATGAACGTACAGTTGACAGAGTTGAGAATCTTTAGTAGGTTTTAATTGTTCTCATTCTGTATCTTTTTCTCAAGACAATTCCTGTTCAAACGTTCCTAGACAAATTGATGCGTTCTCAGACCAAATGCTGCAACTTTGTTTTTCTTCTCTCCCCAGGGGGAAATGTGCGGACGCCCAGAACGGAGAAGCGAGTGGCACGAATGGACAACATCATGGACTCCCTGCGGCGAGAGCAGCTTCAGCGAGCAGCAGAGAGAGAGGCTCGAAGGGCTAAAGGGTCCCCAGCAGCTGGACGCGGGCGTCTGCTCAACTTCAACTCTCCTGGACCAAAGGTTGCCATTGGCAATACCCCAGCTACCACCACGGCAACTGTTAGTAGTGCTGGTCCGACCGTCAGCACTTCCCACACATTGGCTAACAATGCCACCATGACCACTACGTCTTCCTCACCCATCAATGCAGCCAGTTCTTCCAGCATCAGTGTTCTAACGCCATCTAGCGACAGCGGGGCAGCATTATCCACAAGCACGAGCTCGACTGTAGACTCTTCTGCTGCTACTACTGCTGCTGCAACAACAGCTGTTGACAATACTTCTGTCACCTTCGCTTCATCGACTGCTGTGAGTGTTAGTTCTGTGTTGTCAAAGGATGGAGATCTTCCTCTTCTGTCTGGGCCAGAGAAAAGTGAAGCAATGGACACTTCAGTGGCCTCGTCGACGGCAGAGGAATCTACTGCTGCCACGCCTTCTCTTCCAGTTCAAAGCACCGTTTTTCCAAGTGTAAGGGACCCAGTGAGCACCACGGTTGTAACTACTGTTTCTGTAAACATCGACACTTCTTCAGTAACTGTCAGCAACAGTGATCAAGTTTCAATTGCGGCTGTCACAAGTGCTTCCAGCACAACCTCGACATCTCAACTAGACAATGGATCAACGACAAATTTGTCAGCTTCAAGTTTGTCCACGAAACCTGGTCAGACATCTGAGACATTATCAACAAGCAGCGTCGGTCAGCTTACCCCCTCTGTATCTGCCCCGGCCCAAGCCAGTCAGCCGTCCTCTGTGTTAGAGTCATCCACTATGGCAAGAAATCCCTCCCCCGTTACATCAACTCCTCATGTGATCAATAACCCCACAACAACAACAGCACCGTCTTCTTCAACTCTCTCAAAAATCCCATCTCCCGGCAACTCTGCGCCGTCTCCTGTTTCCACATCTGCTCAGAACACTAGCGTTAATTCTACATCTGCTGCCAGTGGCGTCACCTCGTCAGTGACAGAGACCACCAGCAGCATCGAGTTACATGCCCAGCCTCTGACAGCAACAACAACAACATCGATGGTGGTGACATCAGAATCTACCAGTGACGGATCTGTTGCAAACGTTGCTGTAAACCTGGAGGAATTAACGCAGGACCCCGCTGATGTTGCACTCACTGCTCCTGCTGCAGTTGATGCGGAGAGGCCTCTGGTGGACAATGTTAGTGATATACCTTTGCCTGCTGGTGCCCCGCCTCCAAGTAGTGGTTCGTAACTGGGCAACTCACACCTGTAGCTGAGCATTTAGCATTAGGGAAGGTCAAAATAAAATACGTCAAATTTTACATACTTGTATTCTAGCTCCAATGGTTTGTGCTTCTCCTTACAATACCTTTTAGTAAGGAGACCTGAAAGTGACAATGTATATATGGTCGTTTTTAAGCACAATGGAGGCTGTCCCGAAAAATGCTGTTTTGACAAAATGAAAGGTAAAGTTTTTGGATGCTTTTTCAGTTCCTTTAAAAGACAAGGAGAGTTTTCTCTATTTATCCCAACAAATATACGCACCAATCAAACCAAACTTCTGCTATAGGTAGGTCAATGCCCACTTTTGGTGTAGGTCAAGATTTCTAGAAACCCCGGAAATCTGGGTTAGCCCGCTTGTCCTTCAAAGCGACCATATATACAGTATTATACAGGTAGCTCGAATTCGTTGGGACCAGCCTTAGTAGTTCGAGGGATCCGTTGTTGGAGGGGTACATGAACCGTGTTATGGTTATGGCATTGGCTGTGTCAGAGAATCAAGGTGTACTAAAAAGTCCAAGTATTGAGACATTTTCATTTTAGCTAAAATTTAGTAAAGTGAGCAGTTTTTTTTTGTTGTTTTTTTAGTTTTCTGAAAACAAAACAAAAAATGACTTGGGCAAAGATGTTCTGACCGGGATGATGTTGTAGCCCTTGGAAGCTGAAGTATCCCACCGAGAAATTGTTGTTTATAAGACTTTTGTAGAGTGATTTTAGAATGCACGTTATAGACCTCATCCTTTTTGTGATTGGTTGCATAAATGTGTGTAGTGATATCAGATGCTGCAACACTGTACATCCTCCAGGGGATTCTCATATATGTTGTTTCACTACCTACTGTAGTTACTTTTTTATTAGTTTAACAATCTTTTGGAAAGGTACAAGACAAGAAAAACAGCATCTTGCTTGAAAATGTGTACTGTCTTGTATCTTCATTTGTTTTTAAAATCTTGCCCATTTTTATGCGTCTGCATTATATAAATGGTGAGTGTTGTTAGCTCAGTGAGAATAAAGTGTCAATATATGTGAAGAAAGCTTATGGAGCAGTGATATAACGAAATTCTGAGAAACTTATTCATGAGACATAAAATCAGTCGGATGCCATCTTTTTGTTTCAAAAATACTTTTTAAAAACTATTTCTCTTTTTTTTCTAATTGGGTACTAACGTTATGTAAATCTGGTATGTGCATACATTTTTATAACATTTAACATATCGCAGATCCTTGCTTTGCATTGAGACCTCAAATAACTGAGCAGAATCAATCTTAAGCGTGACCCAGTTTGACTTGAAAATATTGAAATTTGAGACTCCATAGTCTCTTTGTACATACCACTGTTGATTTACATTGTATATATTTGTGTGTACAAAAGAATGTATATATTTGTGAGTACTACAGGAAGAGAAATTATGAAATGTATAATGAGCAGTCTAGCATTCACATTGCAAAATAGGCAGGAAGCAGAAATCTTTTCATATAAATACGAATTTCACTATGTACTTGTTTTATTTATAAGAACATACATGTAAGAAAAAATGTGGGACCTGAAAAGCGTGTCTGCTATTATGCTAGTCTGTAGATATGTGTGCACTTGTTTTTCATTTCTATTATGAAACTATGAAAGGACGAGGCATTTTTGGAAGTTCAAAGGATTCTGCCAAAAATGGTAATGGACTTTACTAATGAAGTCAAATTGATTATTTTTTTCCAAGACATAAATGGCAGCAGAAATATAAACAGGTAATTGATAAGGCTGTTTTCGCCTGTCTAGGTGATTAGTTCCCTTTTTTGTCGTCTTTATTTATGTAAGAAATGTTGTTTGTGAAATGAGTATATGGTTAAAGACAGATGTGTTCAAAAATTTCTAATAAAGCAAGTGGTTTCATTTATACTCATAGCCGTAGTTCATTTTCCTTTCTTGCAAACATTTCTCTGCTGTTCCCTTGTATTTTTTTCCATGTAGTTTTTGCAACCTATTGACACAATTTAGATAATTTAGGAGGCCGGCTTTAACCCTGCCTGTCAGGCCAACCCAGGGTAAAGGGGATACAACATCCCAACAGGTACTCCATTGAAATGTTCTCCCCACTCGGTCTCTTGCATGCAAATGTTAAAGTGCCTCACCGCTACACCACAGGCGCAGAAAATTCGTGAGGCAGGACAACTTGACTGTTGAAAGCTGAAGGAAGTGTCAAAATAATATCTGCCCTTGACTAAAGAAACAAATAAGTGTACACAGTTGAAGAGCACTGGTAAAAATATAACTTATAACAAAAACACACTAAGTCCAACACTTTGCACACTACGATGATCACGGTCCGCTGTTTCCTGTTCCTGTAAGATAAAACTGCAACCCCACTGTGACCTCTTTAGTCCTTAGTCACCCCAGATGCTGGGCACTATGCCAAGAAATTGGGATAACGGGGGGAGGGGGGGGTAGGCAGCTATAACTTTATACGGTAAAACTTCGGTATAACGTATAGCTTCGAACGTACTATTGGCTAAAACATAAATTACTTTCTAAAACCCCAAATCCCATTTAGTATTTTAATTCCTTTTGCCTTTTATGAACCTTGGCTAGGACATCTTGGGTCTGAAGGGAGGATGTACGGAGGTTTTGTAGAATTTCGTTTTCACTAGATCTAGAGTATCTTGTATCTTCAAAAAGTGTACTGCTACTGAAAACAGTGGAAATGTGAGGGACACCACACATTAAATGGTTAGTAAGTTTTGCAGCACTTCCAACACATATAGGCCATATAAGTGCAGAAGATTTGAGTTTACTTTTAGTAAGGTTTTACTGCGCTCGCAACTGCATAGGTCATATGAGCGCCAAGTGGTGGATGTCAACAGAGAAGTCCAAACGGAGAATCAAGCTTACTTGCTCACCTCTCTAACCTCTACAGCACAAAATCTGCTTCGACTATCAAGGCACCCCGTAAATAGCTGTTCACAAGAGAGTGACAAACATACAAAAGAAGTAGAGGAAAATGACAGATAGTAATGATGAGGAAAGAAAAAGCAGCAATTCCCCCTTTGTTGTTCCGGCACAGTATGAGCATGACATTGATTAATCAGCCCATTTACAATTCCATTGTGCGTAAGAAAGAGTTAATATCCCCCCTTTGGGAGTAGCATGGGTACAATTACGTTCAGTTTCAATACAAGTTTTATGACACAAATAGTTCATTTAAGTGCAGATGGTTAGAGGTGTAACTAGAGAGTTACATTTAAAGAAAAGAAGGAGAAGAGATAAGTTTAAATAAGTTTAGTTTTAGTAAGAGTTTTATGGCACTTGCAACATCACAATAATGTCATATAAGTGCCGAAGATTAGAGGTGTTACAAGAGAGTAACAAACACAAAAAAGGAGGAGGAGAGATAAAGACGATAGATGTTTCATAGGAAATAAGCAAACTACACCAGAGCACCCGCCAACCACCCACGAAGTTTAAGTAAGAGCTTTATGGCTCTTGCAACACAGTAAGGTCATACAAATGCAGAAGATTAGAGGTGCAAAAAGAGGGTAATGAACACAAAAAAGGACGAGAGATCAGGACAACAGATGCTTCATAGGAAAGAAGGAGCAAACCACACTAGCGCATCTGCCAACCACCCACAAAGCGATATCCGGAAAAATTGATGTTTGATAAAAAAGAAGCAGCAAATTACACCCGGGCACCTGCCAACCAGCCACACAAAATTGTTTGATTACAACAACTACAAATTACGAAACTAAAAATACAAAAAAACAATGAAAATAGCATTGGTTGTAACGTTAATTCAATATTTAATTCTTATTATTTTCTTTGTGTTGAACACAATCAGAAGAATATAAATGAACATGGTAGGCTGAAGATGTAAAGCGATGACATGTCTGGAAAGTCAACTATCAATGTTATGACAATAATAGGTAGAAAACATATTCAAAGGGAAATCATTGGGAAATGCAACATGACATGAAGCTTGAGATACAACATTCAGCAATAAGACAAATAGGACAAAGGTTAGAAGGAACCAACATTCAATACTTAACTAGTAGTAGTATAGCAATATAAGAAAAGGGGGTTATTATTAATATTTAATATTGTTTTCTTTATTATAAAACAAGCTTTGACAACAAATTTCCAGCCACTGAAAGTGTGCAAAGGATGCATACAACATGACAACAGATTAAGGTAAGACTCAACCAACCCACATGATGAAAGAGGAAAGTAGTCACCAATTTTTTTCTACTACTAGATCTACTTGAAAACTCAAGTACCGTATTTGTTATAGTTATAGTCTGATTATGCACCACTTCATAAACAATTCTTTTTTCATGAATCTTTAAAAAAAACAAAAAAAACCTTTCAACGCATAAAAACCTCCAAGTTTGAATCAAAACAGTAAAACTTTGGAGCCACCTGTATGGGGGGAAAAAGTGGTTGCACTATATTTCACACCATTTTCAAATAAGTTATGGAGGTTAAGTATAAACTGATCACAAAAAGACTTTAACTTTAACTTTAGTCAGGAGTGAACTTTGACATTCTGTTGTTTATCATCCTGCAAAAAAAACAACCCCAGTCACAAGTGACTGATCATGACAGATGGGTTTTTGGCACAAGCTCCTAAAACAGAGGGAATGCATTAGTACAGCGCTGTCCAATTAACAGCAACCCAAATAAGAGCAACCTCCACCTAACATCAAGGAATTCTTGATTTTACACCCATTTCAACACAATTAACATCATTATGCTAAGTACTAACTTGAAGTGGGCTTCCGTACCTGCCTGTCAGGGCTGACCCGGGCAGAGAAAAACCAAGATACTCGAAAAAAAATTCCTCCCCACTCAGGAATTAAACTCAGGTCTCCTGCATCTGACAGGTGAGCACTTAACCGCTACACTGATGCCAATGGGAAAAGTTTCAGCAACTGGGTGTAGAACATTATCCCTGATGCTGGAGGAACAGTGAGTTGTCACTTTCTGACAAGGCAACATAACCATATCCTGAGAGAAGGACTCCCTGGGCTGACATATGGGAAGGGGTGGGAGTAGGGATTATCTTTGAAGTTTATAGTCCCCCCCCACCCCTCTAAAAAATTCAGTTAGCAACAACCTCTGCTTGCTTCCCAAGAGGGTTCCCCTCAGGCAGACAACACTGTACGATGAAACAGAACACACCCGGAGCTTAGCCTTCAAAGTCATTCTTGTTCATGAAATGATAGCAAAAAAATAATGAGTAATGTAAAACAATTCTTTGAGCAGGCACCTAACAACAACCGAGTACTCTGAAATTAGAATTTCATGAGCACTTAATTCACTGGAACCGCGCCAAGTGAAGGCAATAGCTTTGAGAGATCAAGCCATTAGAAGAAACTGCTGAAAATATACTTGCCGATGTAATGTGGTTATCCATCCAGGCTGAAATCATACAACATTGGTCATAACTGGAATTTAACATCAGGGACAAAGCAGCAAAGTCTGAGATTCCCCATACATTTTGCTTTTCACATTTCGTTATCAGCATGCAGCTCTAAATCAGGGGCATCACTTGTGAATTTTACCCTGGAACCAAATTAAATTCTTAAAAACCAACTGTCAGATTCTATACAGCCTGACAGAGTTAGATTTTCCATCTCCAGTCAAATTAACTTTCCCAGAATGAGCCACTCAGTTTGTGACAGTTACCATTAACAACAAACGAACAGTACGTTTTGGGGGACAAAAAGGAATGGGGGATTAAAAAACCCACAATAATCAGTATTCGCGACAGTAATACTTTCACACTCTTCTTTTTTCATTGAGGGCAGTGGGGGTGGGGTTTGACGGTAATGCAAAGAAAAAAGCATTTTAGGCTCTTGAGAGGAACAGAGTATGACATTTTTTAAAAACCTAGACAAATGGCATGTCACTGGGACGAGCACCACTCTAGACTAATTGTCCTCTTCAATTTGTAAAGTATTTGAATGGGTGGCAGGGACAGGAATTTTTGTTCGCACAAGAAATTTAAAACAAAAAATCATCGGTATGATACAGATGATGTATACTTTACGCCCAATATTTATAATTAACCTAACAAACTTTCACAACTTTTTTCTTAGTTCTCGACATGAAATTGTTATTTTTCAGTCCTTGACGTAAAAAAGCTAAATTCAAGGAAAATCATAAGATAGTCTCTCTCGGTGGACTGTGCTCACAATACTTCTTTGTATGACAAAGGCCAGCTCTCTCCTGTACATACAACTGTGAACAGATTCAGATATGACCTTATGCAGTTGCAAGCGCTGTAAAACCCCTTACTAAAAAAAAAAATGCCATCAGCTGTCATGGTGAGGGGACTTTTGGGGGGGAATCGGGGAACTTACACAACTGTAAGCAAAAAGAAATATAAATGTATTGTTTGTTTGTTTGAGTAAAGAGCAGCGCAGCTAAGTGCAAAGAAAAAGCAAGAAAAGGCAGTCAGAAACAAAAAGAAGAGATAGAAAATTAGTGGGACACACCAGTGGTGCCCTCCAACCACCTTCATAATTTATAAATGTGACAGCTGACAAATAAACTGTTGTTTTTTTTACTGAAACAAAGTCTGGCTGCAAAAAAAACACCCAAAAAAAACAACTGACCAAATTTCTGGCAAGTAGCCTCCCAAACAGCAATGTCATTGAGAAAAATGATAAAGAAATTTCTATTTCATAACTGGAGTGAAGGGTAGAAGGGGGGTAGGGGGTGGGGGCATGTAGGAAATGGGGCAAAGAAAGACTTGCTTAACAAAGGTGAAGACAACATTCAACGAGTGTAAAAACAGTACAACAATTGAATAAAATATACATGAAAAAATTATAAAATAAAAAGCAATACAACAATTTGTTTTTCCTTACGTGGACATCAACAAAACAAATATTTCAACAGACAATTAGAAACGAAGTAATTTTGCTTTGTACAGATTTTAAAAAAACAACTTTCACCTGCAACTTAAAAAGTTGTTTTTACATACCACAAATTTGCTACATAGATACTCTTTGCCACACCTATAAACAACAAGATATTTTGCTAAAACCAACATATGGGGCGAGAGACGGAGGTATTGTGTAGAACACAGGCCTGAATGTGATAATATAAAACCAGTAGAAAATACATAACTAGTAACAAGACTTGTCAAATGAGAAGTAAAAAGAACGAAAAAACCCAATCCATTAGTGAACAGAAAAAGTTGTAGCAGACAAGTTCCTTGTGTGATAAGATTGTAAATGTCGATCCACCCCACAAAAGCTTAAAATCATTAAGAGGCAGGCAACCTCACCCCTGCCTGTCTGGGTCAAGCTCAACTGAATACAACACAGCATCCCAGTAGACTAGTGCCTGTCAATTTTGTCCTAGCCAGCACCCACTATTGACTTCTTTTACTTTTTATTTTTCTGGGGGGGTAAACCCACTATGCTGGGGCCTGTTTTGGTACGAAATCTAAAATTGACAAATACATCACTGAATCGGTCATCAAATCAATTTATTTCAATTTCAATAGTTCTTGATCTAATGAATGAACTCCGGGAGAAACTAAAAGATACCTGTTTTTGACAACTGCTATTTGAGGTCGAAGTTGTTGGAAAGGAGTGCACCTGAGCCCGGCTCACCGGCACAGCGGATCATACCGCGAGCAGCTGGGAGTAGCTTGCCAGAGATCAGAAGTTAGGAAGCTAAAACTATCGCACCGTCCACCTATAAGTATTTCCAAAAGGGGGCATTCAAATATCACCTGTCACTACCCAGGTAATCCCCATTGCCCACTAGAATTACCAAATTCCCCATTAGAGGGCCATGATTATTATATCGCTCAGGTTGACAAGCACTGTGGTAGAAAAAAATGAGACACTTGATAAGAATGATTTCAGAACAACCTCAGGACATTTCTTCCGCTCAAACAAAACCAAAATGGCAACATCTACATTCATGGGTGTCAACAGAAAATATACTCAGCTACGCTCTACTGCACACACAAAGAAAAAGAAAAAAAAACAACAACTACATTCTGACCTTCCTGACCAGAAATGACATTTCATTGGTCAAATGTAAGTATGAATTTGAAAACAGTTGTAAACCCAAAAAACCTTCTCAACTGTCTGAACTGTAATTTATGTGCGGGTAAATATTATCATCATCATCATTAGTATTATTATTTTTTATTATAATATTTGTGCAAAAGCTGTTTATTCTAAAAAAAACAAAAAACAAATAAAAACTGTCAGCTACATATATATATATATATATGTCATCACAAACAGATGCAATACCCAGTTCTAGGGGCAATATACCACACAGCTGAAAGAGTCAAATGAAACAATGAAAAGACAACGAAGATGGGAGATCACACTACTGAAGGTGTACATGTACACGGCACGTAACAGTCTCCTTTCCTAACTCAATGTGAGGAAACTTTGCACATTTGATCTACACAGCAGTCATCGCCGTGCCTCCCCCCCTCCTCTCCCTCTGCACTCACTCCCCACCCCAACTCTCCCACAAAGACAGCAAAAGAAAAACTGAACATCAAGAGTTATTCCAAGTACTTGAAGTAGAAGCTTCAAAGATCCTGAAGGAAACGCGCAGACACAAGTTATTTCCCTTCCACAACAAACACGAGCTGGCGTTTGTTTGCTTGTTGCGCGTGAACACATTTAAAGCTGCAGAGTCGGATGAGGTTCTATATAAATTCATATGACAAGCGTTGATTACACACATGATGTGTACCATAAACATATACACATATACGCCACGGACAAGGAGCACACTAACTAAAGCATAATATATGAAGACATCCACTGGAATAGAAAAAAAACCCACTAAACAAGAGCATGATGTGGATGGCAACAGACCACACAGCTGAGAAGGATGAATATGAAATTTACAACTCTTTATGAAATATCTACATCCAATGTTCCAGAGTAATAAATGTCACTGTTGTAATACTCGTCGTCATCGTCATTGTCGTCGTCATCGTACAAGAAGCAACAAGAGAAACATCACAGGGACAGCTCCCTGGCCAATCACAGAGCTCAAATAGGAACAACACCAAGCTCCCGCAAACCTCACAACTGAGCCCAAAGAATTCGCGTCTGGAAACAGATTATCACTTTTTAACTCTCGTCAAGTTGTGGTCACACAATTTTCTTTATCAATGAATTAAAGAAGAAGAAAAAAAATAGGGCTCGCAACAGATTTTTGTCGTCTTACCAAAAAAACAACCCCCAACCCAAAACTACAATGTTCCCTTCAGACTATAATTCAGTATTGCTCAAACATATTTTTGTCCATGATTTTAAAAAATTACCCCTCAGTTTCTTAACAGATTAAAGGACACAAAAAAGTATACCACCTGAAACTCACAACAATCCTCAACTTACAGGTCCATGAATATTAATTGGTAGTCATGGAAAAAAATTCTAAAACAGACTACAACTCATCTCACAGTCAATTAACCGATTTGACATGTTTTGAGACATGGTGACACCCCCACCCATCTTAAATTTTTGATCTTTTGACCTGTCTCCTGCTCCTGACATATTCTCCTGCAGGTGGCATGGCACGGTACCACAATTATGCATCCATAGGGTCTCCCAGCAAAGTTCTACTACAGGACACCTCACACGGGCTACGCATCATTTTCAACAGAAAACTTCACAAATTATGGTTCAGTCCCCTCTCACCTAGTATTATTTTCAGAGTATATTACACCATTTTCTTCCAAGAAAAACAAACTTTATCACATAATCTCTTCCAAGAAAAACAAACTTTATCACATAATCTCATCTTCTCTTTCCTTAGAAAAATTTGTCAAACGTTGAACTAATGTCCTCAAATTTTAATTCAATATGGAAAATTGTGCATGAACATCCAGTTTATGGGAAGCATTTTTACAAAATTTTCTCCCTCAAAAGCTCCCTTCACACTGAACAAACTATAAACAACCAAACAGGGGATTTTACAAGAAGAGCAAAAAATGATGTTTCACCTTTCTGGTCTACATAATTATAAGACAAGGCAGTTGTCAAAACACAATCCCCATTCCAAGAAAGCATGTAAAATGTCTTCATTTTCATCAAGCTGAGTTACAAACTATAATCACCATAACTATTAAGAGAAAATTTCACGGAGCTATCATGCCATGCATCGAAGCTACTGTGTTCTCTGTCACCTGTCCCCCACTACCTAAACACTAACACCATCAACAGTACTCGGTGGAAACAGAAAATATCTCACATACCCAGCATACAACACTTTCTTCCTAAACCTGATGTTTTCAAAAGATGCTGGTAACATACCTCACAGATCCAGCATACAACACTAAACCAGATGTCCCTGAAACACAACTTATCTCACAACCCCTGCATACATCTATTCCTAAACAAAATGTTCCTGAAAGATGCTCCTCTTCGAAAAAAAACACCTCAGAAACAACCAGGCAAAAAATTTGTCACCCAAACATACATAAAAGACATTTTTAGATTATGAGAAACTTGAGGGAAAAAAAGCACCCAGCCTCTTGTTGTAAAAGAACTCTTTTCTTTCCAGACACATGCAGTCATAAAAGCTTGACCCAGCCCAGACCATCCAGGCTGGGAATTAATCAAACAACAGATGGGTAGCAGCCCCCCCTCCTGAAATGAAACATCACAGATGCTGCAGGAAACTGTCCGGCCACGCCTAAGGGGAAAATAAACGTCAATGTAAATAGTTTGTGATATGTGTCAGTTGTCTCCCTTCCACTAACAATGAGAAGAAACAACGTAGCTTGGCACCTACAGAAATGTTGACGAGGCAGGCCCCAGAATTACAGCCCACAGTCATTTGTGACAAAGTAACATTTCCATCCGTACACACACTTTTTCACATATATAGATATAGACATATATAGGCATTTTCAGCATAGTAGGATCATTTTGGACCCCGGAGAGACAAAATTCTTGGGTTGAAGCCCTGCCTAGGTTCCACCATGGGGCTGAGTGAGAAGATGAAGGTGGAAAAAAAGTTAAAGCCTCCCCACTCCAAAAGATAATAATGTAATTTTACAAAATCTGATGTTTCAGAGCACAAAAAAAACAAAAAAACAAACAAAACCAACAGGATATGAAGGGGAAACAAACAACCTGCAGGTTACATAACACAAAAGTTTCATAGCTGTTCAGATGTACCAAGCCCAAAATTCTGAGGTGTCCGCAGCATGTGCTAAAAAAATATTCAGTCGAAATTCAAATTCCTACTGTGAACAAGGCAAGAAAAGAAGATATGGTATAGGTACAATTGTTTAATGAATGAAACGTCTTTTTTTTTCTCTTGAAAAAATTTTTGCGATCTGGGCTTAGTACATTGGAACAGCTTAACGACAGTATGAATGTACAAGCTCATTTAGCACTGTAGTTCATGGAATAACCGCCATCATAGTAACATAATGGAAAACACACCAAAAAAAAGGTCAAGTGTCACAGAAAACTTCAGTGTGATACGTCGTACAATATGACCGGATATCACTCAAGCTCAGGCTTTCTGCGAAAACTCATACTGGGCAATCTCCTCTCTTCATGACATACAATATATTTCATTTTCTCAACATAACAACCATCCTACACATAACTTTTGTATATATAGTACACTGGGCCGCAAAGTGGCGAAGAATACATTTTTTTTTTCAAGCTACTGGGAGTAAAATAGCAGAAGGTTATGTTCCGCATAGAACTTCAGCTGACAATATACATGTAGACACAGGAAGCTGTTAAATTGGCAGGCAGAGCCCCAAAAGCAGACGTCATTCAAGCTTTGCTGAAACACTATTACAGAACACTTGAGATCAACTGCTTGTAGCAGTGCATCGTGCTACAATGAGCTCTATTGTACAGTGAAAAACTAAGACTAAGCATTTTTTTAAAACATACCCCTCCCCCTCTTCACAAAACAAGATCCTCCACAATTCTTTATGCAAAAATGAGAGCCACATGTGTGCGGCATTGTGGTGAAATCAGGCGCTCATCAAAATGCAATTTTTATCAATTTTTGTAGGTGGGTGGGGGCTCATTGTCCATCGAAAAACACATTTCTTATTGCATTTTTCTCAAAAACGTTGATCAAAGGCACAAAAAACGTAAAAATGGGAGTCACTAAACTTTGATCATTATTTTCTCATCAATTTTACGTCTGACATCAGACAACCCCAATCTCCTTCAATTATACATATCTCAACTTCTATTAAAGATACAAGGGTAATTTCGTGTTTTTTTTCATCAAAAGCAGAAAGACAATTCAAAAAGTTTTAGAATTATACCAATCCAATATGCCTCTAAAAGTTGACGAGCGCCCGACTCCACACTGCCGTGACACAAATGTTGCTGCTGCATTGCACAGAGCAATGAAACTCCATGACAAACATGCAGAAACCACGCCGAGCCCTTCAGATCAAAACACGCTTGTGACATCAATGTCTTGTTGCCGACAGCGTCGGCAAGATGACACCACTACACCCAGCACATCCCATCCCCCTCTCACCACACAGGGTTGCCATGTGGCAAAAATAAGTTCTCATTGACAACGAAATCTTTTTTTCAGATCTCAGTTGGATGAGGACATCATAGACGTGACTGAATTACATAAACTATCTGGGACAGACATAGATTTTAAAATTGACATAACTGGAAAAGCCCTCCATAAAAGAAGTACAAAAGGTATATTTCTTGAATTTGGTCTGAAAAGACTAGGGAAAAGACAATTTTTTTTTTATTTCAGGAGGAAAAAAATATGTACTTATTTAAAGGAGTTACAATCAGTTGTCCCATTTTTTTGATTTCACAAGAAGGGGAAAAAAATGGCTTCACAGCAACCCTGTCTCCTCCCACCCCTTCCTGCCCCCAGTGGTCAAGCAGCCTGCAAAACGTCCAGTCCTAAGAGTGCTCCAGGTTCTTGTCCTGTATCTGTAAGGTCTCTTGGAAGATGAGCTCCTTCAGTCGCTCCTTGGGGAGGTCGTCCAGCTCCATCTCAAAGGTGAAGGGTTCCTCCGCTACCGGCTGAAACACACACACAAACACAAAATTGCTGATTATTCCTGCTGAAAGAACATATAGTAACAGTAACAAAGAATAGCTGACTATTTCAGGTGAAAGAACATATTATAGTAACACAAAATTACTGATTATTCCAGCTGAAACACACATCGTATCACTAAACTGCTGATTATTCCATCTCTAACATACATGGTAACACAAAATTGCCGATTATTACAGCTGAAACACACATGGTAACGCAAAATTGAGAGAGAGACATAGAGACAAAAATATATAGAGAAAAAGAGAAGAAGAGAAAAAGAGAGAGAGTGAAACAGAGGAAGAGCATGAGAGAGAGAGAGAGAGAGAGAGAGAGAGAGAGAGAGAGAGAGAGAGAGAGACAGGGAGGGAGAGAGAGGGAGGGAGAGAGAGAGAGATGCAACACTGGGCTCTGACCTCGTCTGCCGGGTCGTAGTACTGCTCTAAGTACGGGTGAGCCAGGGCTTGCTCCACAGTGATTCTCTTGTTGGGGTTGAAGGTCAACATCTTTTCTAACAGATCCAGGGCTGGGGACAAACACAAGACACACGGTCAGTTTCCAATGCTTTGTATGAAGTAAAGTGCAATTAAAGAGCTCAACTCCCTCAACTCCTCATTATCATCATCATTAATAATTAAACAGACACATACTATCAATACTGCAGTATTATCTTATTTTAAAGCTTGAAAAAAAAAAAAGCAAGACATACATGACAAAGCATGAGTGAAGAAGTAGGACCAACCAAAGACACAGCATGAGTGAAGAAGTAGGACCAACCAAAGACACAGTCCATCCAATAACACCTTTTTTTTTCACCTCAACTTATTAACCAACCCATCAAAAATGATGTAGCAGTAACAGTAAAAAGCACTGTAACTAATCAACCAGCCATCAAAAATGATGAAGCAGTCAAGAGTTTTACAGAACACAGGAATACTCCATGACCGTACCATGACCATGCCACTGACCTTTTACATCTGCGTTTGGATACAACTTGTTCCATGGTACTTTCGGTTTGAAGGGTAAGGACTGGATGTACCCTCGTGCCTGTGGGAGGAAGGGGAAAGTGTTACACACAAAACGTTAGCCTGTGATGGGATGTGATGTCGGTGATCTAGTGTTTAGGTTGCTGGGCTTACAGCTAGAAGGTTGTGGGTTCCAGAGCCCTGTCAGTGGCTTGATGTTGTGTCCTTGGGTAAGGCATTTTAAACTTGCATTCCCCACACCACCCTTGTTAGTGTTTTGAGTTTGAGTGCTTAACCATCAGCTTGCGCTGTTTTCACTGTAGATTAGAGTTAATGTTACCTCGTCATTGATGATACACTGCGGGTTTGTTTTTTTACATAATGACACTGTGTATAAAAAATCACCTGCCTAAGATGGCCACTTTCCTCCTCGACAAAGGGTGGCTTGTCTTAGACAGTATTGATTGTAGCTTAGAGTTAACTTTACCTTGTCATTGATGATACACTGCAGATCCTCCTGGCTGGGAGACCCCAACACACCCAGTATGTGGTTCAACTGGTCCAGGTCTACGAGCCGTTAAGAAACACTACATGGGTGGGGGAACAACGAGATTCCCTAAATACAATCAGTTTAGATTTTTTGAAAGTTTTACAACATTTGCAACACAATTAGATTGCATAAGTGCCAAAAATCAAAGGTTTTAGTTTTAGTAAGAGTTTTATGGCACTTGCAACACAATTAAGTTGTATCAGTGTTGAAGATTAGAGGTGTTTCTAGAGAGTAGCATAAAAAGGAAATTCAAAAGGAGAGATAAAGATGACTAGATGTTTGATAGGAAAGAAGGAGCAAGCCCCACCAGATCGCCTGCCAACCACCCACAATGCTAGTCATTTAGTGCTTGGGAGGGTGTATATACAGACACAAAAAAAGAGGGAAAGTATAGAAGTTTGTAATACATTTTACATTAAATAAAAAGTTATCAAAATGGGAATTTAAAATAAAAACAAATATTTCCAAATCAAAATATTGATGTTGTTTCTGAAAGTCTGAACCAGAATAGTTTGAGCGTTTATAAAGTCGAGCCACCGATATGACACATACAGCTTGTCAGAGCCAACAGGAACAGCCCGTCAGCTCATCGTAGTAAATAGGTTGGTATAAAACAGTTCAGCCTAAGCTACTGCCAGCAGCAGACCCCGTGAACCCAACTGCTCCGATGTACTAAGCCGAACATTTTGAACGTTTAAAAAAAATTTGTGCAGTTTTTCTATCTGTGGTATCGGTTGCATTTGCCCTAAATATGGAGAGGGAAAAAAAACGAGAAAAGATACATGCTACAGATGAAGGAATTCAGTTTTTTTCTCTTTCCTGCAAAATTTTTCTTTCTGAGCTTAAAACAGTTAAACAGCTTCCTGTCCAAATTGTCAGTGTCACAAGCAACCCACTTAAGCACACTTTTTACACAAGAGACAAACCCCTCCCTCTAGTTTTTTTGGGGTATTATTCCTACCAGGAATAATAAAAAGGGGGAAAAATTGTAAGCCTTGACCGTAGCATTAAACTGCATTTTGGTGATGTTGAAAAGTGCATATTTGACAGAGCTGTGGTAGGTAGTAAAAGTAAAAATTCTCAAAATCTGGACTTAAACGGATAGCTTGCGACAAGAGGTGAATATATATCCACCTCCCCTCTGTGGGAATCCCCAGTGACAACCCAAGCTTTCACTGGTGCCATCTCGTGCGTAGAGTCACCGGATCAATAACTCAGGAGATCGTATTAACGTTAGTTATTTTATAGCCAGAGGGGTTTCTTTTTTTTTTCTCCATGGCTGTCCAGATCGAGTTTCACAACCATAGTAAGTCGATGATAGATTGTCAGCCTGGCTCAAGTAAGGTTGGCTGAAACGACGGTGTGCCTTGCCCATTACCACAGAGAAATCTTTTTTGGGGAAAAAGGCTCACATAAACTAAAAGAATGCAAGGGGAGTGGTGTTTTAGTAAGAGTTTTACAGCACTTGCAACACAAAAAGGTCAGTCATTTAAGAGACGAATATTAAAGGTGTTACAAGAGAGTAACAAAGACGAAAAAGGAGAAGAGATCAGAATAATAATAGATGTTTGATAGGGAAGAAAGAGCAAACCACACCAGAGTACCCACCAACCATCTGTCTGCCTGGATGGACTTTCACAACCATAGTAAGTCAATGATAAGAAGATTATTAAGTCAATGACAGACTGTTAGCCTGACTTGAGTAAGGCCGTCTGAAATGACGATGTGTCCAGCCCATTAGTACAGAGAATCTTTTTTTAAATTGGAGGGGGGG